GCCTGCCGTTCTTGCACACTCCAGAGCAGTCCTTTGCTGATGATGTCAGGTAGCATCGATGCAGTCACAGATCGTGTTGCGAGCGACTTGCGCGTTTGTCCCACAGTCCCCTACCAGCATGATGCCTTTGTCCAGTAGCTGTTTCAGTGGCACAAGCTGGGAACTGTGATTCTGATACGTTTCATCGTGCGCAAGATGAAGATGACCGACAATGAAATTTTCGACCACCTGGAGGAGCTCGTGGACTTCTTCGTGGTGCCTCTGATCACGGAGGGCAATCTTGACGAGGATGAGGACGACAACGGCTGAGACGACGAAGCAGATGTTGCCGTGCCGTTACCCTAGGTGGAGTCTGCAGCTCGCTGCAGACCCGCGGCACAGCTGCCAAGGCCGCCCGCCTGCGCAGTTCGGCTGTGTCAGCTCGCGTGCTCTGAACGCAGTTGTCTTCGTCGCTCGGGTGTTGTTGGAAGGTCAGTTGTGTTTCATCTGCTGAATGTCCACAGCCTCCAACTTCAAAACCGATAGACCGCGCAAACAAACTTAATTAGTTCTTCTATGGGGATTTCATGTCAAAAAGCATAAGCATGAGTGCCCGAGGCCTTTGGCAGCCGCCTGGCAGTCAAGTCACGGCGCTGGCTCGGGATCAATGTGCCAACGACGCAGGCATGTGCCGTCTGGCCCGATCCAAGTGCGGAGCTTCGTGAAGCTGGAGACACAGAGCCTTAGCTTCAGCTTAACAAAGTTATGCAGATCCCTTCAGGGCCGTGCTGTAGAACTCTAGGTTCAATCCGGATATATCCATATACTATACCAATCACTCATGACGTGGTGCACCGTGTGTAAGGCCCTTGCCTTTACATGGCATGCATCGAACAACCACCCAAACGAAGGCTTACTCAAGCTATAAGTTTTTTGTCAGAACGTCCGTGCTGTGAAAGGGCCAAGCATCCGAAGCACAATAGATTCTTTTGCAAGCACTGACAACACAGACTACACCGTGCAACAGTCTTAATCTGGAGTTCCCCAAGGAAGCAGGAGGTTTAGGGTTTAGGGTTTTTCGAAAGGAACAGCATGGAGAGTTCTGTTCATAGTGCCGGGGGCTTCGCTGTCAAGGAGCAGAACCTCGTGCTGGAAGACTGCACGGCGAGCGTGGATCATACAGAGTCGGGCTCTTAGTTGCTGCACAAGACGTCTGGCGATGGGCTGCTTTTGTCGGCGGTTACTGTTGCCGGCACGCCCGATTGTCAAAAGCAGCTAACCTTCAGGTTGGTATAGCATGTCTTGCGCACGAAACGGCCTGAGGCTGCTCCAGATGCATGGACTTCTCGCTGCTGACGTGTCGGCATTGGCAGATGCCATTCCATCTTTGCAGCCTCATGCCAAAATGCTTTCGCAACGATGCCTTTTCGGCCTGCCTGTCGAAATGGTGCATACAGGCTGTGCGGTATTGCGCCTCGCTCTATCAGCTGACATGCTGGTTCAACTGCACGACCAATCACAGCTTCTGGAGACGATGAGACGTGAGGAAGACGTCATGCTCTCTGCAAGGCACTGGGATAAAGTCGCCGAAATATCTGCGGGTCGCTCATTGGATCATGCCCACTGCGCTTGGGAGGAGTTTGTCTGCTGGTTGAGATTATCTCCCGTGGAAGTACAACGTCATCAAACGACAGTGAACGAGCTGTGGGCCAAGCTGCAAGAGTTGAACATCTCTGACGCAAAATGGAGCAATCCGTACGAGCCGATCACCTTCCAGACAGTCCATGTTGCCGGATCAGTTGCAAAACTTACAGCGTCCAGGCTCAGTTTTGACGTGGACCTCACTTTCGTGACCGCAGACCGGCGTCCGCTGAGCGTGCTGCGCAAAATATTCTTGACGCAGTGCAGGGCGTGTTTGGCAAAGGTGGAAGGCGTTCAGATTCAGCAAGAGAAGCCGGGCGCTATCGCCGTAGGCATCATCTACAATGGTCTCGTGTTGGACTTACTGATTGGACGAGACCTTGCTGCACAGAAAGAGACTGTGCACCACATCGAGCTTCAGCCAAAAATGACTCCTCTGGAGGAGAGCAAAGTGCGTGACAAGCACCGCCAGTTCTTGCAACTCGTGCTTATGGAGATGGCAGATGCCGAGGCAAAGATGTGCATCGCAACTTACGGCCGCATGGCAGTGCTGTATGCACAGCAGTATCCACAGGTGGTACGTGATTGCGTCCTTCTGCTCAAAGCTTGGAGACATGGCCTGATGATGGACCACTTTCGCGAACTGCTAGAAACAAACATGCCCGACATGCGTGTGACCGACTGCCAGCAAAATGAAGATGTGTTCGGCATGCTGCTACAGCTTCGTTTCATCGCTTGTGCAGAGGTTGCACCGTCCTGTTTCCTGGAACAGCTTGCTATGTGGACGTATGGCGAAATGGAAAGAAGCGCTTCGGACTTCCAAGGTGGTTTGCCTGGTGCTGTGCTTTTGTTCCAGCAAGTTATGCTAATGATGGCCGACCTTGACGTTCACAGCCCAAGTCCGAAGGTCTTGGTTCCTTACAGGACAGAATTTCTCATCCGCGACTGGGCATACTTGGAGGCATCGATGTGTGCAGATGCTGCCCAGAATGATCGGCCGGTGGTGATGTGGAACCCCTTCAATGCACGTGACGACATGGCCCGGAAAGTTTCAGCGGAGGCCTGGAAAAGAATGAAGACGGCTGCAGCCAGGGCAGTGGATGCTCTCAACACAAGCACTTCGCAGGTTGAGCAACTGGCACAAGTCATGCATCCGTTCGTCCGTGACAAGTTCTTACGATTCTTAGACGCTGGCACAACGAGCGCCTGGAGCGTACTAGATCCGCCGCGAAGAGTCGACCATGACTGCACGGCTCCCGTGACCGAGCTCGTACCGGTGCCCGTGCCGGTGGTTGTTCCCGTCGCAGTCCCGGTGCCTGTGCCTGTACCGACCCCTGCTACAGCCCAGTCACATGGTGTCTATAGGCGTGTCATGGGGCTCCTTTCGTTACTTGTTACTAGATCCCTCCAATCGCCCGGTGTTGCTCGGCCTGTCCCTGTCACCATGGGCGGAATTGCAGCTGCTGTGGCGTGGGCAGAAGAGCGGCAAGATTTGTCATACGCGTACGCGGCTGCCGAGTGCGGTTGAGATGTCGCTGTACTCTGCGGGTCCAGGGCACGAGTGAAGACCATTTGAGCAATCGAGTGATGCAAAGGAGGTGGAAAGAGACTGAGTTGCAAGTCTTCGTCTTTGGGGTCCGGGGGCCGATGAAAAAAAACAAGCATGCCTACCTGGCATGATGATCGGACCGTTGCCACTGCTAC